CCTAGTCTGGCTGAGTGTGACATGCCCCTGCCCTAGTCTGGCTGAGTGTCACATGCCCCTGCCCTAGTCTGGCTGAGTGAGATATGTCCCCGCCCTAGTCTGGCTGAGTGTGACATGTCCCCGCCCTATTCTGGCTGAGTGTGACATGCCCCTGCCCTAGTCTGGCTGAGTGTGACATGCCCCCGCCCTATTCTGGCTGAGTGTGATATGTCCCCGCCCTAGTCTGGCTGAGTGTGACATGCCCCTGCCCTAGTCTGGCTGAGTGTGATATGTCCCCGCCCTAGTCTGGCTGAGTGTGATATGTCCCCGCCCTAGTCTGGCTGAGTGTGACATGCCCCTGCCCTAGTCTGGCTGAGTGTGACATGCCCCTGCCCTAGTCTGGCTGAGTGTAACATGCCCCTGCCCTAGTCTGGCTGAGTGTGATATGTCCCCGCCCTAGTCTGGCTGAGTGTGACATGTCCCCGCCCTATTCTGGCTGAGTGTGACATGCCCCCGCCCTATTCTGGCTGAGTGTGATATGTCCCCGCCCTAGTCTGGCTGAGTGTGACATGCCCCTGCCCTAGTCTGGCTGAGTGTAACATGCCCCTGCCCTAGTCTGGCTGAGTGTGATATGTCCCCGCCCTAGTCTGGCTGAGTGTGACATGTCCCCGCCCTATTCTGGCTGAGTGTGACATGCCCCTGCCCTAGTCTGGCTGAGTGTGACATGCCCCTGCCCTATTCTGGCTGAGTGTGATATGTCCCCGCCCTAGTCTGGCTGAGTGTGACATGCCCCTGCCCTAGTCTGGCTGAGTGTGATATGTCCCCGCCCTAGTCTGGCTGAGTGTGATATGTCCCCGCCCTAGTCTGGCTGAGTGTGACATGCCCCTGCCCTAGTCTGGCTGAGTGTGACATGCCCCCGCCCTAGTCTGGCTGACGGTGATATGTCCCCGCCCTAGTCTGGCTGAGTGTGACATGCCCCTGCCCTAGTCTGGCTGAGTGTGACATGCCCCTGCCCTAGTCTGGCTGAGTGTGACATGCCCCCGCCCTATTCTGGCTGAGTGTGATATGTCCCCGCCCTAGTCTGGCTGACGGTGATATGTCCCCGCCCTAGTCTGGCTGAGTGTGACATGCCCCTGCCCTAGTCTGGCTGAGTGTGACATGCCCCTGCCCTAGTCTGGCTGAGTGTGACATGCCCCCGCCCTATTCTGGCTGACGGTGATATGTCCCCGCCCTAGTCTGGCTGAGTGTGATATGTCCCCGCCCTAGTCTGGCTGAGTGTGATATGTCCCCTGCCCTAGTCTGGCTGAGTGTGATATGTCCCCGCCCTAGTCTGGCTGACGGTGATATGTCCCCGCCCTAGTCTGGCTGAGTGTGACATGCCCCTGCCCTAGTCTGGCTGAGTGTGACATGCCCCCGCCCTAGTCTGGCTGACGGTGATATGTCCCTGCCCTAGTCTGGCTGAGTGTGACATGCCCCTGCCCTAGTCTGGCTGAGTTTATATGTCCCCGCCCTAGTCTGGCTGAGTGTGACATGTCCCCGCCCTATTCTGGCTGAGTGTGACATGCCCCTGCCCTAGTCTGGCTGAGTGTGACATGCCCCAGCCCTATTCTGGCTGAGTGTGATATGTCCCCGCCCTAGTCTGGCTGAGTGTGACATGCCCCTGCCCTAGTCTGGCTGAGTGTGATATGTCCCCGCCCTAGTCTGGCTGAGTGTGATATGTCCCCGCCCTAGTCTGGCTGAGTGTGACATGCCCCTGCCCTAGTCTGGCTGAGTGTGACATGCCCCTGCACTAGTCTGGCTGAGTGTAACATGCCCCTGCCCTAGTCTGGCTGAGTGTGATATGTCCCCGCCCTATTCTGGCTGAGTGTGACATGTCCCCGCCCTAGTCTGGCTGAGTGTGATATGTCCCTGCCCTAGTCTGGCTGTCGGTGATATGTCCCCGCCCTATTCTGGCTGAGTGTGACATGCCCCCGCCCTAGTCTGGCTGACGGTGATATGTCCCCGCCCTACGGGATGCATGTGGCAGAAATGTATGTGACATGAATATAACGGAATATATGTGACAGGAATACAACCGAATATATGTGGCAGGAATATATGTGACAGGAATATAACGGAATATATGTGACAGGAATATAACGGAATATATGTGACAGGAATATAACGGAATATATGTGGCAAGAATATAACGGAATATATGTGACAGGAAGATAACGGAATATATGTGACAGGAATATAACGCAGTATTTGTGGCAGGAATATAACGGAATATATGTGACAGGAATATAACGGAATATATGTGACAGGAATATAACGGAATATATGTGACAGGAATACAACGGAATATATGTGACAGGAATATAACGGAATATATGTGGCAAGAATATAACGGAATATATGTGACAGAAATATAACGGAATATATGTAACAGGAATATAACGGAATATATATGACAGGAATATAACGGAATATATGTGGCAAGAATATAACAGAATATATGTGACAGGAAGATAACGGAATATATGTGACAGGAATATAACCAGTATTTGTGGCAGGAATATAACGGAATATATGTGACAGGAATGTAACGGAATATATGTGACAGGAATATAACGGAATATATGTGACAGGAATATAACGGAATATATGTGACAGGAATATAACGGAATATATGTGACAGGAATATAACGGAATATTTGTGACAGGAATATAACGGAATATTTGTAGCAGGAATATAACGGAATATATGTGACAGGAATATAACGGAATATATGTGACAGGAATATAAAGGAATATATGTGACAGGAATATAACGGGATATATGTGACAGGAATATAATGGAATATTTGTGGCAGGAATATAACGGAATATATGTGGCAAGAATATAACGGAATATATGTGGCAGGAATATAACGGAATATATGTGACAGGAATATAACGGAATATATGTGGCAAGAATATAATGGAATATATGTGACAGGAAGATAACGGAATATATGTGACAGGAATATAACGCAGTATTTGTGGCAGGAATATAACGGAATAAATGTGACAGGAATGTAACTGAATATATGTGACAGGAATAAAACGGGATATATGTGACAGGAATATAACGGAATATATGTGACAGGAATATAACGGAACATATGTGACAGGAAGATAACGGAATATATGTGACAGGAATATAACGGAATATATGTGACAGGAATATAACGGAATATATGTGACAGGAATATAACGGAATATATGTGACAGGAAGATAACGGAATATATGTGGCAGGAATATAACGGAATATATGTGACAGGAATATAACGGAATATATAGGACAGGAATACAACGGAATATATATGACAAGAATATAACGGAATATTTGTGGCAGGAGTATAACGGAATATATGTGACAGGAAGATAACGGAATATATGTGGCAGGAATGTAACGGAATATATGTGACAGGAAGATAACGGAATATATGTTGCAGCAATATAACGGAATATATGTGACAGGAATATAACGGAATATATGTGACAGGAATATAACGGAATATATGTGACAGGAATATAACGGAATATATGTGACAGGAACATAACGGGATATATGTGACAGGAATATAACGGAATATATGTGACATGAACATAACGGGATATATGTGACAGGAATATAACGGAATATATGTGACATGAACATAACGGGATATATGGGACAGGAATACAACGGAATATATGGGACAGGAATATAACGGAATATTTGAGGCAGGAATATAACGGAATATATGTGGCAAGAATATAACGGAATATATGTGACAGGAAGATAACGGAATATATGTGGCAGGAATGTAACAGAATATATGTGACAGGAATATAACGGAATATATGTTGCAGGAATATAAAGCAATATATGTGACAGTAATATAACGGAATATATGTGACAGGAAGATAACGGAATATATGTGACAGGAATATAACGGAATATATGTGACATGAACATAACGGGATATATGTGACAGGAATACAACGGAATATATGGGATGGGGATGTGCTTGAGAAGAAAATACGTAAATAAGTACGGAATAAATGTAACGGACTATGGACGGCGGAGATGTGCCGAAAATGTGCATGATGGGATATGTAATACGAAATATGTGACGAGAATGTGCGTGACGGGATAGTTAATATAGAATATGTGACGAGAATATGCGTGACGGGATATGTAATATAGAATATATGTGACGAGAATGTGCGTGACGGGCTTTGTAATACAGAATATTTGACGAGAATGTGCGTGACGGGATCTGTTATACAGAATATATGTGACGAGAATGTGCGTGACGGGATATGTTATACAGAATATATGTGACGAGAATGTGTGAGAGGAAAACATCTGTGACTAGAATATGTGACTAGGATATACACCCTTACCTGACACCGTGAAACAAATGTACCAGGCTCCACACTGTAGACGGATTGTATCATTTAACCCTTTCAGCACTGAAGTCATGCTTGGGAGTAGCTTCCATAGAAAATGACGCCAAATGCTGTCTAATATTATAAAAAATCAATAAATGCTCATATAATGTATCCCCAAAAAGGTAACGTGGAACGACAGAATTTCAAAAAAACAAAAATTGAATAGCCTTAGCTAGATTAACAATAGTTGAATATGCTTTTTAAAACACTCAGCCGAGCCATTGGAACCGTCGAACAGGTAACACACGTGTATAGCCGACCGCCACAGCAGTCGCTCTTCCCACGTGGAACCACACACACACACACACACACACACACACACACACACACACACACACACACACACACACACACACACACACACACACACACACACACACACACACACCACCTCTTGACTCGCCATTGTGGCCACCTCTCTACTGTCGTTAAGACGTAATAGGAGTTATGCATTGCATTAGTATTTTAATAATGCCTCAACTATTCTGTGTTATGCTTGGTGACCTTGGCAAGACTCATGAATAACACGTTCCGTGTCATAAAACACAATGTAGGTGCAGGCGTGCGCGACTGAACATGTCTCAGCGATGGCTGAACAAAGAAAAGTCACTTCTTTCAAGATATGAAACTGCATTCATCGTGTTATATCTCCTCTCGTGACATGGATCCCGAACTCCCGAACAGCTTTACAGTTTATCACGGAGCAGGACGTATCGCATGACTTCTCTCCGCGCCATCCCTTGGCTTATGTATTTTCCGTGTGACAAAAGCCTTTCTGCAGTGTTCACCACTTCCTGGTCGTGAGTCTGCGAGAGGGTAAGAGGGGACACACCCTGACAGTGAGACACCGGACCTCTAGTCGGGTGGTTCTGTAGAGAATCAGTGCTGGCACAATGGCGGCCCGAGGTGTGTTGTGGTGGACGTTGTTGGCTTGTGGCTGTGCCGGATTCTTCCGCCTCACAGGTAAGTTGAAGGGTGCCTCGACACAGGTAAGTTGACGGGTCCCTCGACACAGGTACCTTGACGCCGAGCAGTACAAACCACATGTACATAGTGTGCCCACAGACCCGAACATCACATACTCTGTGTGTAGCGTAATGGGTGTCAGTTTGACAGATGCATGTGTGGTGTTTACTGGAACCCCCTTGTAAACACAAGCAGTGGATGCGTGCATGTCCCCACTCCGACAGGCACCACGTCGACACTGAGACAGACACTACAGACATCGTGTTCCACATTTTCATAGAACGGATTTTAGGCCATAACATATTATATGTTCATATGAAGGTTTCACCATTTGACTTATGTAAGTAGGGCACGTCATGTAACCAGTCGGGCTGTTATTGTACTCGGGGGTTATTCGATATCTTGGGAGTCGGTAAGATATTTATACAGAACAAAGGCTAAACGTGACTATGACGCAGCCCTTCCGACATACGTTAAACTGATCCACCTATACTGTCTACCAGGCGAGCAACAACGCCGACAGCCGGGAAAACAACTGTCACATGGGTGTGATCAAATGTCACATTCCTCCTACAACTGGTTTGGTCTGTTGTCTCCACATGAGTGATGGGCCCCGTCGCGCCTCTTGGGAAACCCACAACCACACATGAACTGAGCTGAACACACGGTTCAAAATACCTCCGAGACAGTATCTCAATGAACAGACAAAATAGCGAATTGTGGGTATGATGGAGGGACAATTGCACTATGTAATAGATTCAAATCTACTCCTGTTATCAAAAGAGAATTCAGTACAATAACAGGAAGCCGAATTTCAACATCTACCGTTAAAAAAACGACTCTTTGCAGCCCGCCGGAAAGCAGGGTGTCCTGTGAAGGGTGTGGCCCTAAAAGCGTACCAAAGGCGGGCAAGATTGGGGTGGCTTAAGCAACACCAGGGGCTGGCTGTGCGATAATGGCGTTATGCCATGTTTACAGACGAATCACGGTTTTGCCTCCGATTCGCAACCGATTATCTCCAACGAGAAGGCAAACTGACATTGGACAGGTGAGCTGACATGTCTGTGGGGCGGAAGGTGTTCGCCAGTGGCCCAGCACCCACCAACGCGGACATGCTCGGGGTAGCTCTCCAAGCTGAATGGCGTCCATTACCATGTGCAACCATACACACGTTAATGCAGCATGCCATCAAGGTGTCGTGCATGTATCCTCCAAAATGGTGGACACGACACACCAGATATTGAATTAGTAGCCCGAAAAAAATTACATATAATTATCGGCATAACACCTTCACAGTCATTTCATAAGTATAGTATATATATATATATATATATATATATATTATAGATATTTGCAACAGCCTTATGAAACGGTTTTTCCCCTTTTTAAGTGTACACATATCCCCCCCCCCCCCTATACACACGTCACTACAGTCTAGTCCCGTCACGCTCTGTGTCTTCACACCGCGAGGAAGCGAGATAATGACGTCAGTTGACAAGGGCCCAATAGAGCAAATCTAACGTCGTAATACATTTCCATGTCAACTCTAACTTGAAAGACGTACATACTACTGTATCTTGACGGGTGATGTTCACCATGGGCGCGTAATGGTACACGTGTACATATAGGGTTTCCAGTAGCACATACGCAGTATAATATTGACTTCAGTGTAATATCATGTACCTTTACAGTTCTTGGTTCAACACGTAGTTTAATATTGACTTCAGTGTAATATCATGTACCTTTACAGTTCTTGGTTCAACACGTAGTATAATATTGACTTCAGTGTAATATTATGTAGCTTTACAATTCTTGGTTCAATACGCAGTATAATATTGACTTCAGTGTAATATCATGCACCTTTACAGTTCTTGGTTCAATACCTAGTATAATATTGACTTCAGTGTAATATCATGTACCTTTACAGTTCTTGGTTCAATACCTAGTATAATATTGACTTCAGTGTAGTATCATGTACCTTTACAATGCTTGGTTCAATACCTAGTATAATATTGACTTCAGTGTTATATCATGTGCCTTTACAGTTCTTGGTTAAATACCTAGTATAATATTGACTTCAGTATAGTATCATGCACCTTTACAGTTCTTGGTTCAATACGCAGTATAATATTGACTTCAGTGTAATATCATGCACCTTTACAGTTCTTGGTTCAATACGCAGTATAATATTGACTTCAGTGTAGTATCATGCACCTTTACAGTTCTTGGTTCGACACGTAGTATAATATTGACTTCAGTGTAATATCATGCACCTTTACAGTTCTTGGTTCAATACCTAGTATAATATTGACTTCAGTGTAATATCATGTACCTTTACAGTTCTTGGTTCAATACGCAGTATAATATTGACTTCAGTGTAGTACCATGTACCTTTACAGTTCTTGGTTCAATACCTAGTATAATATTGACTTCAGTATAGTATCATGTACCTTTACAATGCTTGGTTCAATACGCAGTATAATATTGACTTCAGTGTAATATCATGTACCTTTACAGTTCTTGGTTCAATACCTAGTATAATATTGACTTCAGTATAGTATCATGCACCTTTACAGTTCTTGGTTCAATACGCAGTATAATATTGACTTCAGTGTAATATCATGCACCTTTACAGTTCTTGGTTCAATACGTAGTATAATATTGACTTCAGTGTAATATCATGCACCTTTAAAGTTCTTGGTTCAATAAGTAGTATAATATTGACTTCCGCCCATGTACTGTGTACATTGTAACACCATGTACCTTTGCAGTTCTTGCTCAAGACAAGGTGTCTCTTGGATGTTTTGGGTCTGCTGGCTCGTGTCTGAATCACAACCTGACATGCCCAGACACGGCCAGGGTGGCGATACAGGTGGCCCTCTACGGCCACAAGACGTGGGTGAACTGTACCACCGGTGTAATCAGCTGCAGCGACACCTGCTGCTCCTACCTCCGCAACAGCGACTGCTTCCACACCTTCATCGCTGGCGACATCAGCGACATCTACCGGAACTGCTCCTCCCACTTCTGTGACTTCCGCACACCGCGGCTCAATCAACCGTGCTCCGGGTCTCAGGCGATCTCCAGCTACTCAGTGGTGGAGTATGAATGCGTCGAAGGTAGGAGACAATCATGTTTAAGCGAATGATTAATGAGACAGTGCGTCGACGGTTCTGTGTGTTTTCAAATCATGCATGAAATAATTTTCGAATGTGACTCCGAAACGTTGTGTTCCTCATAATAAAGAAGTTGACATCCCTAAATCCTCTTCCTTATCACTTCTTTATACGTTTCAAAGACTCGTTTATAAGTATTATCAACCTTCTTAATGCTCTTATATCAACAATTCCTAGAGAAACGTGTAGATGACTTGAGATGTGAGAAACGACCCACTTAATGTCATCACAACAATTCCTAAAATCGTACTTGGTTCGCAGATTCAACATTTAATAGGAATAGTGGTGTATGTAAATATTTTCTTGCTATGTGTTTTTTGTTTCGATATTTGTTTCAGTAGTAATTAAACTTCAGATCGCACCCCTTGTCTCAATGCTCATGAGACTTGTGTTAAATAGTATTCGTGAGTCAGAGGTGAGCAATGTGACTCAGAGTGAAACATTAGACATCGTGATTCAATAGAGGAAGGGGTTGGCACCCTCATTAACAACACTATATTATAATAAATACGCGAACACAATTATATAGAATACGCTTTATTATTTAGGTATCTTCCTCCCGGGCGCCCTCTGGCGTTGCCCGGACGCTCCCGGAGGCCCCCGGGGGTGAAGTAGTAGGACCGGTTACATGTCTGATTCCATTCGTTACCAACTCGTTCCATTCGTCGACAAGCCGAATGTAGACTCGTGCTCCTCTTGAAGGTTTCTATATTGGCGTATAAACACGAGAACTACTTCAATCAAGAACGATAACTCTTATTCTACCAGCGTCTAAAAGTACAATTAATGTAGGTGTTCGAACAGCGCTCACTTATTCCTGTTGTAAAAGTATTGAACCTCTCTCATACTATTATATTGTTTTCACCACCTGCTCGTAAAATGTACTTGTCCGACATTCCCGAGGTCGGATGGTATTCAGGGAGTCACCATTATTAAAATTTGGGTAAACATTTTTAAAGCTTGTACATTTCATCAACATCCTTAAAGAAGCTGAACGTAATGTTGAAATCTCATGTACGAAACACACTCGTGGTCTTGTTTATCGTACAACAAAACACTGCAGGGAGCATCAACCATGAGGGGCAGCGCAGAGGTTTTTGTACGATAGACAACTCCCACTCGTCGTTTGTTTCCTGAGGAATGTGTGCAGATGTAGGCAAAACATGATGACACAGCCTAGGGTGTGAGGTCTGTGTAGATGTAGACATAGCATAATAACACAGGCTAGAGTTGGGGGGTCTGTGTAGATGTAGACAGAACGTGATGACACAGGTTATGGTGTGAGGTCTGTGTAGATGTAGACACAACGTGATGACACAGGTTAGGGTGTGAGGTCTGTGTAGATGTAGACATAACGTGATGACACAGGCTAGGGTGTGAGGTCTGTGTAGATGTAGACATAACGTGATGACACAGGCTAGGGTGTGAGGTCTGTGTAGATGTAGACATAACGTGATGACACAGGCTAGGGTGCGAGGTCTGTGTAGATGTAGACAAAACATGACGACACAGGTTAGGGTGTGAAGTCTGTGTAGATGTAGACATAACGTGATGACACAGGCTAGGGTGTGAGGTCTGTGTAGATGTAGACATAGCATAATAACACAGGCTAGAGTTGGGGGGGTCTGTGTAGATGTAGACATAACGTGATGACACAGACTAGGGTGTGAGGTCTGTGTAGATGTAGACATAACGTGATGACACAGACTAGGGTGTGAAGTCTGTGTAGATGTAGACATAACGTGATGACACAGGCTAGGGTGCGAGGTCTGTGTAGATGTAGACATAACGTGATGACACAGGTTAGGGTATGAGGTCTGTGTAGATGTAGACATAACGTGATGACACAGGCTAGAGTTGGGGGGTCTGTGTAGATGTAGACATAACGTGATGACACAGGTTAGGGTGTGAAGTCTGTGTAGATGTAGACATAACGTGATGACACAGGCTAGGGTGCGAGGTCTGTGTAGATGTAGACAGAACGTGATGACACAGCCTAGGGTGTGAGGTCTGTGTAGATGTAGACATAGCATAATAACACAGGCTAGAGTTGGGGGGTCTGTGTAGATGTAGACAGAACGTGATGACACAGGTTAGGGTGTGAGGTCTGTGTAGATGTAGACAGAACGTGATGACACATGATCAACCATGAGGGGCAGCGCAGAGGTTTTTGTACGATAGACAACTCCCACTCGTCGTTTGTTTCCTGAGGAATGTGTGCAGATGTAGGCAAAACATGATGACACAGCCTAGGGTGTGAGGTCTGTGTAGATGTAGACATAGCATAATAACACAGGCTAGAGTTGGGGGGTCTGTGTAGATGTAGACAGAACGTGATGACACAGGTTAGGGTGTGAGGTCTGTGTAGATGTAGACAGAACGTGATGACACAGGTTAGGGTGTGAGGTCTGTGTAGATGTAGACAGAACGTGATGACACAGGTTAGGGTATGAGGTCTGTGTAATGTAGACATAACGTGATGACACAGGCTAGGGTGCGAGGTCTGTGTAGATGTAGCCATAACGTGATGACACAGGCTAGGGTGTGAGGTCTGTGTAGATGTAGACATAACGTGATGACACAGGCTAGGGTGTGAGGTCTGTGTAGATGTAGACATAACGTGATGACACAGGCTAGGGTGTGAAGTCTGCGTAGTGGTCACCTCTGAAGACAAACTGACACCCTGCAACGATGAATACAGTAATAATCATACAATTGTACATTTCATGTGAACATAGAACACGGAACACTAGATAATACAACACTTAAGTCCTGGATGAAACAACAAGTAAGTACTGGATAATACAAGTAAGTACTCGATAATACAACACGTAAGTACTGGATAATACAACAAGTAAGTACTGGATAATACAACAAGTAAGTACTGGATAATACAACAAGTAAGTACTGGATAATACAACAAGTAAGTACTGGATAATACAACAAGTAAGTACTGGATAATACAACACGTAAGTACTGGATAATACAACAAGTAAGTACTGGATAATACAACAAGTAAGTACTGGATAATGCAACACGTAAGTACTGGATAATACAACACGTAAGTACTGGATAATGCAACACGTAAGTACTGGATATTACAACAAGTAAGTACTGGATAATACAACAAGTAAGTACTGGATAATACAACAAGTAAGTACTGGATAATACAACAAGTAAGTACTGGATAATACAACAAGTAAGTACTGGATAATACAACAAGTAAGTACTGGATAATACAACAAGTAAGTACTGGATAATACAACAAGTAAGTACTGGATAATACAACAAGTAAGTACTGGATAATGCAACACGTAAGTACTGGATAATGCAACAAGTAAGTACTGGATAATACAACAAGTAAGTACTGGATAATGCAACAAGTAAGTACTGGATAATACAACAAGTAAGTACTGGATAATACAACAAGTAAGTACTGGATAATACAACAAGTAAGTACTGGATAATGCAACAAGTAAGTACTGGATAATACAACAAGTAAGTACTGGATAATACAACAAGTAAGTACTGGATAATACAACAAGTAAGTACTGGATAATACAACAAGTAAGTACTGGATAATACAACAAGTAAGTACTGGATAATACAACAAGTAAGTACTGGATAATACAACAAGTAAGTACTGGATAATACAACAAGTAAGTACTCGATAATACAACACGTAAGTACTGGATAATACAACAAGTAAGTACTGGATAATACAACAAGTAAGTACTGGATAATACAACAAGTAAGTACTGGATAATACAACAAGTAAGTACTGGATAATACAACAAGTAAGTACTGGATAATACAACACGTAAGTACTGGATAATACAACAAGTAAGTACTGGATAATACAACAAGTAAGTACTGGATAATACAACAAGTAAGTACTGGATAATACAACAAGTAAGTACTGGATAATGCAACACGTAAGTACTGGATAATGCAACAAGTAAGTACTGGATAATACAACAAGTAAGTACTGGATAATGCAACAAGTAAGTACTGGATAATACAACAAGTAAGTACTGGATAATACAACAAGTAAGTACTGGATAATACAACAAGTAAGTACTGGATAATACAACAAGTAAGTACTGGATAATGCAACAAGTAAGTACTGGATAATACAACAAGTAAGTACTGGATAATACAACAAGTAAGTACTGGATAATGCAACAAGTAAGTACTGGATAATACAACAAGTAAGTACTGGATAATGCAACAAGTAAGTACTGGATAATGCAACAAGTAAGTACTGGATAATACAACAAGTAAGTACTGGATAATGCAACAAGTAAGTACTGGATAATACAACAAGTAAGTACTGGATAATGCAACAAGTAAGTACTGGATAATGCAACACGTAAGTACTGGATAATACAACAAGTAAGTACTGGATAATACAACACGTAAGTACTGGATAATGCAACAAGTAAGTACTGGATAATACAACAAGTAAGTACTGGATAATACAACAAGTAAGTACTGGATAATACAACAAGTAAGTACTGGATAATACAACAAGTAAGTACTGGATATTACAACAAGTAAGTACTGGATAATGCAACAAGTAAGTACTGGATAATACAACAAGTAAGTACTGGATAATGCAACAAGTAAGTACTGGATAATGCAACAAGTAAGTACTGGATATTACAACAAGTAAGTACTGGATAATGCAACAAGTAAGTACTGGATAATACAACAAGTAAGTACTGGATAATACAACAAGTAAGTACTGGATAATGCAACAAGTAAGTACTGGATAATACAACAAGTAAGTACTGGATAATGCAACAAGTAAGTACTGGATAATACAACAAGTAAGTACTGGATAATGCAACAAGTAAGTACTGGATAATGCAACACGTAAGTACTGGATAATACAACAAGTAAGTACTGGATAATACAACACGTAAGTACTGGATAATGCAACAAGTAAGTACTGGATAATACAACAAGTAAGTACTGGATAATACAACAAGTAAGTACTGGATAATACAACAAGTAAGTACTGGATAATACAACAAGTAAGTACTGGATAATGCAACAAGTAAGTACTGGATAATACAACAAGTAAGTACTGGATAATACAACAAGTAAGTACTGGATAATACAACAAGTAAGTACTGGATAATACAACACGTAAGTACTGGATAATGCAACAAGTAAGTACTGGATAATGCAACAAGTAAGTACTGGATAATGCAACAAGTAAGTACTGGATAATACAACACGTAAGTACTGGATAATGCAACAAGTAAGTACTGGATAATGCAACACGTAAGTACTGGATAATACAACAAGTAAGTACTGGATAATGCAACAAGTAAGTACTGGATAATACAACACGTAAGTACTGGATATTACAACAAGTAAGTACTCGATAATACAACAAATCTTTCAGCTGCGATCTGTCTGAGTTAGAATGTCCTCCCGCCCGATATTAGGGATCTATCCGACACTTCTCTGACAGACCCGGTAACCTGCATACAAGCATGCGAGTTGAATGTGCAGTGAAGCCGTACAGATATGAGGTTAACATTTAGGTTGTGGGTCATGCTCAAACGAGATCTACTAGATTGTCATTCCTCAGTGGCGGCCATATTGGATTTGTTGGTTGAATGTATCTCTCTGTTCCTGACAGAGTCGTCCATCATCCCGATGTGTGGCGCTGCGAATTACACCGTAGGCCAGTCTGTCTCCATCCTGTACGACCCGACCCAGCAGTACATGGTCCCGACTGACGTGTGTTACTGCACCATGTATCAACCCACCAGGAGCCCAGTCGTCATTGAAGGCATCGACATCCGCCTGGCTGGACCGAACGGCGCCTGCGGAACCCTGGGTATCTACAACAGCACTTCCACCTTCCCGCAGCGCAACTGCCGCTCTCCGTCAACATGGCCGTCACTGAGTCTCGCGCAGACGTCAGATCGCTACTTCTACTTGACGCTGACCAATCTGGCAGAATTTGTATGGATAAGATTCAAAGGTAATCCCACCCTCAAGCTTAAAACGTATGCAAATATTAAGAGTACAAAGTAACAGTCAGGACATAGTTGTAGGGACCGTGATCACCACGAAGCCCAGAGACCCTATCCCCTGACTGCAGATCTCGAACCCATACCACTATCCCATGACTGTAGAGATTGTGATAATTTTCCCCCGCCACGATGTGGGGCGGAGATATAGGCACGGAATTCGTCCGTCCGTCCGCCCGTCCGTGCCGTTCTTAAAGGGGACCAATATTTCTCAAAAACTTTTTAAGTCAGAGAAATTAAATTTTAAACACTGACTTTACTGGTCATGATTTCAAATGAGTTCGAAATATGGTGTCGTAAATTCGTGGTATGACCCTTGATCTGTGCTTTTCAACTTAGTACAAACTGTGTGAAATGGGGACAAGTTTCCTCAGAAACTACTGACGTTACTTGAATATAAGTTTGCATGCTTATCTAAGATATATTTGTCCAGACTGAGTTCTGTTATATTCACAAACATATTTCTAATGTGCCCCACGGCAGGAGATAGTGATAACGCTGTTTTCTTGTTAAAATTATCTTCATTCTTTCTTAATTACATTCATTTGAAACCGTTCTGCTGACTGCAGTCATCATGCGTAAGTTTGGAAAGTAAGAGATAAAACTGCCATTGCAGTGTCGTGTCCTATGCCCGTGTCCCGTGCGCTGGTGTTATAGTAATGACAACACAGAAGGAATAATTATTTAAAATTGTTTCACACTGACAAGGCAATACATTAATTGTGTATAACGCTTGACACAAATATAAAGCATATTTCCTACCTTTTCAGCCACAAATTCGTTGACAGTTGCTTGTAGCCTGAACGCCGTGCACACCACAACACGTAAGTACTCGAACATACAACACGTAAATACTGGAACACACAACACGTAAGTACTCGAACATACAACACGTAAATACTGGAACACACAACACGTAAGTACTCGAACATACAACACGTAAATACTGGAACACACAACACGTAAGTACTCGAACATACAACACGTAAATACTGGAACACACAACACGTAAGTACTCGAACATACAACACGTAAGTACTCAAATATAAAACACGTAAGAATGGATCATACAACACGTAAGTACTCGAACATACAACACGTAAATACTGGAACACACAACACGTAAGTACTCAAATATAAAACACGTAAGAATGGATCATACAACACGTAATTACAGGAACATACAACACGTAAGTACAGGAATATACAACACGTAAGTACTTTTACATACAGCACGTAAGTACTCGAACATACAACACGTAAGAATGGATCATACAACACGTAAGTACAGGAATATACAACACGTAAGTACTTTTACATACAGCACGTAAGTACTCGAACATACAACACGTAAGAATGGATCATACAACACGTAAGTACAGGAACATACAACACGTAAGTACTTTTACATACAGCACGTAAGTACAGGAATATACAACACGTAAGAATGGATCATACAACACGTAAGTACAGGAACATACAACACGTAAGAATGGATCATACAACACGTAAGTACAGGAACATACAGCACGTAAGAATGGATCATACAGCACGTAAGTACAGGAATATACAACACGTAAGAATGGATCATACAACACGTAAGTACAGGAACATACAGCACGTAAGAATGGATCATACAGCACGTAAGTACAGGAACATACAGCACGTAAGAATGGATCATACAACACGTAAGTACAGGAATATACAACACGTAAGTACTTTTACATACAGCACGTAAGTACAGGAATATACAACACGTAAGAATGGATCATACAACACGTAAGTACAGGAACATACAACACGTAAGAATGGATCATACAACACGTAAGTACAGGAACATACAGCACGTAAGAATGGATCATACAGCACGTAAGTACAGGAATATACAACACGTAAGAATGGATCATACAACACGTAAGTACAGGAACATACAGCACGTAAGAATGGATCATACAGCACGTAAGTACAGGAACATACAGCACGTAAGAATGGATCATACAACACGTAAGTACAGGAACATACAACACGTAAGAATGGATCATACAGCACGTAAGTACAGGAATATACAACACGTAAGAATGGATCATACAACACGTAAGTACAGGAACATACAGCACGTAAGTATTGGAACAAACATCACCTACGAATTGATCATACAACACGTAAGTACAGGAACATACAACACGTAAATACTGGAACATACAACACGTAAATCCTGGAACATACACCACGTAGGTAATGGAACATGCAACACGTAAATACTGGAATATACAACACGTAAATACTGGAACATACACCGCGTAAGTACTGGAACATACACCACGTAAGTACTGGAACATACAACATGTAAATACTCGAAAATACAACACGTAAGAATGGAACATACAACACGTAAATACTGGAACATACAACACGTAAGTACTGGAACATACAACACGTAAGTACTGGAACATACAACACGTAAATACTGGAACATACAACACGTAAGTACTGGAACATACAACACGTAAATACTGGAACATACAACACGTAAGTACTGGAACATACAACACGTAAGTACTGGAACATACAACACGTAAATACTGGAACATACAACACGTAAGTACTGGAACATACAACACGTAAGTACTGGAACATACAACACGTAAATACTGGAACATACAACACGTAAGTACTGAAACATACATCACGTAAGTACTGGAATATTCTGTTATTATGTATGTATTAACGGAAAAAAGCAACTGTGGTTATAAAGTGGTGTAAATGTCATGTTTTGAAAATAACAATATAATATTGGTTATTCGTCTTATAAATGTTTTATCACAACTAATTCATTGACTAAACTCCTAGCCGGTAACAGGAGACAGAGCGACACGCCCTAAAAGAGGGGTGGTGTATCAACTCAACTTGCAATGTCAATATTGGGTGTGACCACCATTTGTAATGACACAGGCAAGGTAGCGGCGACCCATTGAAGTCACCAGATGGTAGAAAACAGCCTGGGAGATGTTGTTCAAAATGTCAACCGAACAATGATCCTGAGCTGGCGTTACCGGATGGTTCTGTTCCTGTCGTAGGCGTTGGTCCATTTCATCCCAGGTTTTTTATATGGGGAAGTGGTCTGGAGAAACAACCGGCCGTGGCAGTACAAGAATGTTATACTGCCTCAAAAAGTATTTCACAACATGTGGGTGGGCATTATCCTGTGTGTCCTGGTAGCGACACCATTCAAATTATGATTTGTGATCGCCCATGAGTTGTGATGCCACTCCTTACCATTGTACTCCCACACCCAATCTGACGACGTTGAGTAACGTCAACTCATCTGTCAACAGTATACTGTCCCAATCGTGTCTTCTGAACCTCAGACGCTGTCTACACCAAGCTAGCTAGGATGACGGTGGCGTGGCAGCAAAATTGAGCGCATCGCTGAACGTCGTAACGTTGTTATCCCTGAACCGGTTGCGAAGCGTTCTGTCACTCATTGGTCTCAAGCTGGGACTTGTCCAAGATGTTAATGTGGCAGTTGTCGTCCCACGTGGACGACCGGTCCGTCGCAAGTCACGGGTGTTGCCTTGCCGTGTGTAACGTCTCCAAGGAGAATATGTTTTCGATGCAGCAGACCCACAGCACGTAGACGTTGATTTTCAGCAAGCCGTGGCATCACGTAAACGTTATTCCTGTTTCTTGGAGCACGGGACAGCTGACAGTCATTGTGCGCTGTTCACATTAAACAACTACCTGTAACATGTGCACCGTACATTAACATGCACGTAAAGTTGTTAATCACGACCATAAAGTTGCATTCATAAATATGTATTGAAAGGTGCATTTTTAATTCAGAAAACATTTATGCACAATTGAAGCACATTTATTTTTTTCCGTAAGTATATATGAACGTGACATAATTGTGTCATTCCAGCTGCCCCTACTACAACGACCTCAACGACAACTTCTACAACAACTACTACTGTTACGTACCCCACGGCCCCACCACCGACCACAAGGCCACCACCGACTCGTTCCTCTTCTTCAACACCTCAAACTACCACAGCATCAACTACCACATCCACAACCACATCAACTGCCACAAAAGGACCAACTGCAACGCCTACGCCTATGCCTACGACAACGCTTGTATCACCGATGACAACAACTGCAGTGTTGCCTACAACCACCACCTCGTCAGCGTCATCAACAAGTCCTGGGACAACGACTGCCAGCAACAGTGTGTCGACAGAGAGGCAGGCCACTTCAATTGGTAAGTAGTTTCACGACCTGTTTAGTATGACCCAACCGCTTCCGGCGTGAACTGATCTCATCTGTGTGTCAGGCAGACCGCACTGTGCAGTGTGTGTCAGTACTGGTCTGTGGGTCAGGCAGACCGTACTGTGCAGTGTGTGTCAGTACTGATCTGTGTGTCAGGCAGACCTTACTGTGCAGTGTGTGTCAGTACTGATCTGTGTGTCAGGCAGACCGCACCGTGCAGTGTGTGTCAGTACTGGTCTGTGTGTCAGGCAGATCGTACTGTGCAGTGTATGTCAGTACTGGTGTGTGTGTCAGGCAGGCCGTACTGTGCAGTGTGTGTCAGTACTGGTCTGTGTGTCAGGCAGGCCGTACTGTGCAGTGTGTGTCAGTACAGATCTGTGTGTCAGGCAGACCGCACCGTGCAGTGTATGTCAGTACTGGTCTGTGTGTCAGGCAGGCCGTACTGTGCAGTGTGTGTCAGTACTGATCTGTGTGTCAGGCAGACCGTACTGTGCAGTGTATGTCAGTACTGATCTGTGTGTCAGGCAGCCCTTACTGTGCAGTGTATGTCAGTACTGGTCTGTGTGTCAGGGGGACCGTACTGTGCAGTGTATGTCAGTACTGATCTGTGTGTCAGGCAGCCCGCACCGTGCTGTGTATGTCAGTACTGGTCTGTGTGTCAGGCAGACCGTACTGTGCAGTGTGTGTCAGTACTGATCTGTGTGTCAGTCAGACCGTACTGTGCAGTGTGTGTCAGTACTGATCTGTGTGCCAGGGGGACCGTACTGTGCAGTGTGTGTCAGTACTGGTCTGTGTGTCAGGCAGGCCGTACTGTGCAGTTTGTTTCAGTACTGGTCTGTGTGTCAGGCAGGCCGTACTGTGCAGTGTGTGTCAGTACTGATCTGTGTGTCAGGGGGACCGTACTGTGCAGTGTATGTCAGTACTGATATGTGTGTCAGACAGCCCGTACTGTGCAGTGTATGTCAGTACTGGTCTGTGTGTCAGGGGGACCGTACTGTGCAGTGTGTGTCAGTACTGATCTGTGTGTCAGGCAGACCGCACCGTGCAGTGTGTGTCAGTACTGGTCTGTGTGTCAGGCAGGCCGTACTTTGCAGTGTGTGTCAGTACTGATCTATGTGTCAGGCAGCCCGTACTGTGCAGTGTATGTCAGTACTGATCTATGTGTCAGGCAGCCCATACTGTGCAGTGTGTGTCAGTACTGGTCTGTGTGTCAGAAGGACCGTACTGTGCAGTGTGTGTCAGTACTGATCTATGTGTCAGGGAGACCCGACTGTGCAGTGTGTGTCAGTACTGATCTGTGTGTCAGGGGGACCGTACTGTGCAGTGTGTGTCAGTACTGGTCTGTGGGTCAGGCAGACCGTACTGTGCAGTGTATGTCAGTACTGATCTGTGTGTCAGGCAGACCGCACCGTGCAGTGTATGTCAGTACTGATCTGTGTGTCAGGCAGCCCGTACTGTGCAGTGTATGTCAGTACTGGTCTGTGTGTCAGGGGGACCGTACTGTGCAGTGTGTGTCAGTACTGATCTGTGTGTCAGGCAGACCGTACTGTGCAGTGTGTGTCAGTACTGATCTGTGTGTCAGGCAGACCGTACTGTGCAGTGTGTGTCAGTACTGATCGGTGTGTCAGGGGGGCCGTACTGTGCAGTTTGTGTCAGTACTGGTCTGTGTGTCAGGCAGACCGTACTGTGCAGTGTGTGTCAGTACTGATCTGTGTGTCAGGGGGACCGTACTGTGCAGTGTATGTCAGTACTGATCTGTGTGTCAGGCAGACCGCACCGTGCAGTGTATGTCAGTACTGGTCTGTGTGTCAGGCTGACCGTACTGTGCAGTGTATGTCAGTACTGATCTGTGTGTCAGGCAGGCCGTACTGTGCAGTGTGTGTCAGTACTGGTCTGTGTTTCAGGGGGACCGTACTGTGCAGTGTATGTCAGTACTGATCTGTGTGTCAGGCAGACCGTACTGTGCAGTGTATGTCAGTACTGATCTGTGTGTCAGGCAGACCGTACTGTGCAGTGTGTGTCAGAACTGGTCTGTGTGTCAGGGGGACCGTACTGTGCAGTGTATTTCAGTACTGATCTGTGTGTCAGGGGGACCGTACTGTGCAGTGTGTGTCAGTACTGATCTGTGTGTCAGGCAGACCGTACTGTGCAGTGTATGTCAGTACTGGTCTGTGTGTCAGGCAGGCCGTACTGTGCAGTTTGTTTCAGTACTGGTCTGTGTGTCAGGCAGGCCGTACTGTGCAGTGTGTGTCAGTACTGATCTGTGTGTCAGGGGGACCGTACTGTGCAGTGTATGTCAGTACTGATCTGTGTGTCAGGCAGCCCGTACTGTGCAGTGTATGTCAGTACTGGTCTGTGTGTCAGGGGGACCGTACTGTGCAGTGTGTGTCAGTACTGATCTGTGTGTCAGGCAGACCGCACCGTGCAGTGTGTGTCAGTACTGGTCTGTGTGTCAGGCAGGCCGTACTTTGCAGTGTGTGTCAGTACTGATCTATGTGTCAGGCAGCCCGTACTGTGCAGTGTATGTCAGTACTGATCTATGTGTCAGGCAGCCCGTACTGTGCAGTGTGTGTCAGTACTGGTCTGTGTGTCAGGGGGACCGTACTGTGCAGTGTGTGTCAGTACTGATCTGTGTGTCAGAAGGACCGTACTGTGCAGTGTGTGTCAGTACTGATCTGTGTGTCAGGCAGACCGCACCGTGCAGTGTGTGTCAGTACTGGTCTGTGTGTCAGGCAGGCCGTACTTTGCAGTGTGTGTCAGTACTGATCTATGTGTCAGGCAGCCCGTACTGTGCAGTGTATGTCAGTACTGATCTATGTGTCAGGCAGCCCATACTGTGCAGTGTGTGTCAGTACTGGTCTGTGTGTCAGGGGGACCGTACTGTGCAGTGTGTGTCAGTACTGATCTGTGTGTCAGAAGGACCGTACTGTGCAGTGTGTGTCAGTACTGATCTATGTGTCAGGGAGACCCGACTGTGCAGTGTGTGTCAGTACTGATCTGTGTGTCAGGGGGACCGTACTGTGCAGTGTGTGTCAGTACTGGTCTGTGGGTCAGGCAGACCGTACTGTGCAGTGTATGTCAGTACTGATCTGTGTGTCAGGCAGACCGCACCGTGCAGTGTATGTCAGTACTGATCTGTGTGTCAGGCAGCCCGTACTGTGCAGTGTATGTCAGTACTGGTCTGTGTGTCAGGGGGACCCTACTGTGCAGTGTGTGTCAGTACTGATCTGTGTGTCAGGCAGACCGTACTGTGCAGTGTGTGTCAGTACTGATCTGTGTGTCAGGCAGACCGTACTGTGCAGTGTGTGTCAGTACTGATCTGTGTGTCAGGGGGGCCGTACTGTGCAGTTTGTGTCAGTACTGGTCTGTGTGTCAGGCAGACCGTACTGTGCAGTGTGTGTCAGTACTGATCTGTGTGTCAGGGGGACCGTACTGTGCAGTGTATGTCAGTACTGATCTGTGTGTCAGGCAGACCGCACCGTGCAGTGTATGTCAGTACTGATCTGTGTGTCAGGCAGACCGTACTGTGCAGTGTATGTCAGTACTGATCTGTGTGCTAGGGGGACCGTACTGTGCAGTGTGTGTCAGTACTGGTCTGTGTGTCAGGCAGGCCGTACTGTGCAGTGTGTGTCAGTACTGGTCTGTGTTTCAGGGGGACCGTACTGTGCAGTGTATGTCAGTACTGATCTGTGTGTCAGGGGGACCGTACTGTGCAGTGTATGTCAGTACTGATCTGTGTGTCAGGCAGACCGTACTGTGCAGTGTGTGTCAGTACTGGTCTGTGTGTCAGGGGGACCGTACTGTGCAGTGTCTTTCAGTAATGATCTGTGTGTCAGGGGGACCGTACTGTGCAGTGTGTGTCAGTACTGATCTGTGTGTCAGGCAGACCGTACTGTGCAGTGTATGTCAGTACTGGTCTGTGTGTCAGGCAGGCCGTACTGTGCAGTTTGTTTCAGTACTGGTCTGTGTGTCAGGCAGGCCGTACTGTGCAGTGTGTGTCAGTACTGATCTGTGTGTCAGGGGGACCGTACTGTGCAGTGTATGTCAGTACTGATCTGTGTGTCAGGCAGCCCGTACTGTGCAGTGTATGTCAGTACTGGTCTGTGTGTCAGGGGGACCGTACTGTGCAGTGTGTGTCAGTACTGATCTGTGTGTCAGGCAGACCGCACCGTGCAGTGTGTGTCAGTACTGGTCTGTGTGTCAGGCAGGCCGTACTTTGCAGTGTGTGTCAGTACTGATCTATGTGTCAGGCAGCCCGTACTGTGCAGTGTATGTCAGTACTGATCTGTGTGTCAGGCAGCCCGTACTGTGCAGTGTGTGTCAGTACTGGTCTGTGTGTCAGGGGGACCGTACTGTGCAGTGTGTGTCAGTACTGATCTGTGTGTCAGAAGGACCGTACTATGCAGTGTGTGTCAGTACTGATCTATGTGTCAGGCAGACCCGACTGTGCAGTGTGTGTCAGTACTGATCTGTGTGTCAGGGGGACCGTACTGTGCAGTGTGTGTCAGTACTGGTCTGTGGGTCAGGCAGACCGTACTGTGCAGTGTATGTCAGTACTGATCTGTGTGTCAGGCAGACCGCACCGTGCAGTGTATGTCAGTACTGGTCTGTGTGTCAGGCAGACCGTACTGTGCAGTGTGTCTCTGTACTGATCTGTGTGCCAGGGGGACCGTACTGTGCAGTGTGTGTCAGTACTGGTCTGTGTGTCAGGCAGGCCGTACTGTGCAGTGTGTGTCAGTACTGGTCTGTGTGTCAGGCAGGCCGTACTGTGCAGTGTGTGTCAGTACTGATCTGTGTGTCAGGGGGACCGTACTGTGCAGTGTATGTCAGTACTGATCTGTGTGTCAGGCAGACCGCACCGTGCAGTGTGTGTCAGTACTGATCTGTGTGTCAGGCAGCCCGTACTGTGCAGTGTATGTCAGTACTGGTCTGTGTGTCAGGCAGACCGTACTGTGCAGTGTGTGTCAGTACTGATCTGTGTGTCAGGCAGCC